CCCTCCAATATCAACTTCAGTCCATCAGGATAAATTCTTTACCACCACCTGCAGCCAGGCAAACCATTTAATTTCCACCATTCTCTTGCTGACCAAGAACGCTCAAGGTACTTATTACAAGACTGACATACTGCTTGAAACCAGTCTTACACCTCTTGGGGAATAATTGACTTACACTAATGCTTGCTGCCTTCTTGGAATAATCAACAACAGAAGAAGCTTCTTACTGGATTGGAATGAGACTTCTTTTGATCTTGGAGAGAAAAGAAACCAGTCCAAGAGGGGAGGGGGAATCACCATAATGCTTCTTGACAAAAAGGATGCCTTTTCACCTTGCTCCTTTTACTGTATCCAATTGCATCATCGGGTTTTATGTTGTACAAGATAGGGCATGTGGGAGTTACGTATCTTGTTTACATTTCTTACTACATGTAGATCAACCAGTCCAAAATTTGAGCCAATCACCATTCAAGGATTCCGGTGTAACCAAAAATTCAGGGTCAAACTGAGGTAGGCAAAATCCCCAGAAAAACCAGAAAAAAGTTTACATGCTTGAAAAGATAGGAGGAAGCTTGAGGAAGATGAGAAAAGAGTTCCAAAAACTGTGCCAGTCTTTTCTAGAGTCTTGAATCTCTGGAAGAAGAGAGGAGGGTATTTTTTCTATAGGTTCTTTTTCCTAGCGAAGTTTTCTTGCCTTTAACTTTGTAGGTAGATATTTCTTGTATTTACTCGCAGAAGTACAGGAAGTTTATGTCAAAGAGAGAAAGAAACAAGTGGGGGAGACTATTGTCTCTAGGTATAAGTGTTGTTAAGGAAAGTGTATAGACTTTATTACAAGGAAATATAAAATTTCCTTGGAGCGTCTGTTTTTTTTTTTTCAAGAATTTTTAAATATCTATATAGTTTTAAATGGTACAATAAATTCAAAATGCCATAGCTCAAAATATTAGTTGTAAAACTTTTTTGAGATTCCAAGTAATTATTTGTAAAAAAACTATAGGAACAATTTTTGTTATTAAAATAATGATATTCTAAATAATTTCATATTTTTACTTATAGATAAAATTTTTTTTGATGATTATCTTAAGTATAATAAATAATTTGCCAATTATTTTATGTAAATAAATGAACTATATATAAATAATTAGATTAAAAATGGTCTACAATCAATCAAAATATTATAAAAAGATTAAATTTTTCTTCAGTTATAAAAAAAAGAACAATTACCATAATTATAAAATTTTAAATTCTTATATTTTCTTTTAATTTTTTTAATAAAATTATAATTATTTCATATTTTTCTTTTATATTTTTTTATTGTTTTTCTATTGAAATTCAATTTTTATATATTGTTATTTTTTGAATTTCAATATCAGAACTTTTGTTTTAAAAGAATAACAAAATTTGCAATTGCATTGTGACAATAAGATATATAATTTGTGTTACAAAATAGATTAAAATTAATTTATTTATTGCCAATTAATTATTAATTGTTTAAAATAAATTATTAATGAATTATTAAAAAAAAGTTTTTTTGATATTTTCTCAATTAATTTTAATGTACAGTAGAAACCAAAAGTAAAGCCCAATTTTTTATTTTGCAAAAAAATTTATGCAAGTATATAATTTTTTTTATACTATTTATTAATATTTTGTAGATCCTCTATTTGCACTTAATACTGCTTCTATTTTTCATGGCATTGAGTCTACAATGTCCTTTAGAATTTTTGTATTAAATTCTAACCACATCTTATTCAAAGCTATTTTAAGCTCATCTATAGTTTGTGGAAAGTTTTTACATTTCTGAATACTATTCTTTAAAAGTTTTCAGATATTCTCTATAGGATTAAGGTCTGAAGAATTGGCTGGTCAATTTATAATATTAATTTTTTTCTTGACAAACCATTTGGTTACATTTTTTATAGTGTGAATCAGGGCATTGTCCTGTTGGAATATTATATTCTGACTTGACAATAGATGCACTGTATTATAGAATGGAATAAAATTATCTTAAAGAACTTTTAGATAAATATTTGCTATAATTTTTTCCTTTTTTTCTTATATTCATCAAAAAAAATTAATATGCTCTTGTTTCTCTTACAAAGCATCCCCAGATTATTAATAAACACCTACCACTTTTGAAACTTGGTGATAAATAGTCAATATTATATTATTCGCCAATATGTTGCCATACTCTTATTTGGCATAATTGTTTTCCAAGCTCAATGCTTGTTTCATCTGAAAAAATGATGTCTCCAATTGTATATGTTTCTGATTTTATTTTTTTTACATCAATTTATTCACATGACCATATTAGTCTCAAATATATACGATTTCTTTGCTGCTATACAGGAATAAATTTCTGCATTGTGCAACACTCTGGCAGTAGTTGTTAAGCTGCAATTGAGTTTTAAATTATTGATAATTTCCCATAATAGCTTGTGACATTTCTTTATAGCTTCATGTAAAAAGTTCTTTTTTTTTTTGCTTGGTAAAGACTTTAGGTCTCCCGAATTGCAGAAGATTTTTTATATTTTTAGTTTTTTTGTATTTGACAAAAAATTGTTTTACTGTTGTGAAGTTATATTTGATTTTTAGTGCAACTTGCTTAGTGCTCATTTCTTTAATGAATGCAAGTATTTTTTCTTTCTTCAGATCGGTTAACTGTATATGGAAATGTGTCATATTGAACTACTAATTTTTTTTTCTTGTGTTAAGTTGATAGTCAAAGGAATAAACAAAAAAAGTATGAGACCCCAAAAATGTTAAAATAGGAGTAAAAGTAGTGCTTTTATTTGTTCATGTGATGACATAGTCAAATCAAGTGTTACTTTTGGTGATGACTGTATATACTGTATATATATTGTATATAAGTTATACAGTATATTGGTTAAATTATTTATATTAAATTTTAAAAATTATAAAAATTTGTATAATGTTTTTTTATGGAACAAAACAAATGGTTTCTTTTCAATAAAAATCCTTAACAATTATTATTATCAAATTTATAATTAAAAAAAATTTTTTTTTGTTTTTTTTTGGTAAAATATAAATTCGATTAATAATATACTGTATACCTTTTGACCAATTATAAATTATATTTATCTCGAAACATATAAACAAAACGTTTTTATACAAGTGTCATAAATTGATTTCAGTTTAGTTGGGACAATAAATTATAGTGATTCATTTGAATTTTCAATATTTATCAAAAAGACAAAAAGATTTTATTAGATGGAATTTTATTAATCATCAAGAAATATTATCTTTGCCAAAAAAAAAAAAAATTTGTATTTGATATTGCTACTCTTAGTCTAAGAGTCTTGGAGTTCGCTATACCGATATCACGTGAAATATCAAAAAAACCTCGCAAATCAGCATCAATAGATACTATCACCAGGTAAATTAAGGTAAGTCTTAAAGAGAGTCAGAGGATATTACAGCTATTAAGTGTGTGCATTTTTTCTACTTTATCGCACGAAACAATAAAGTAGAACTGACATCAATTTTGGGAATGGGCAACTGATCAGGTCTTATCAAAAGTTTTATTAGCACCTACACTATAGAATAATACGAGAAGTCATTTTTTTTAATACAAATGTGCTCAAAAAACATATATGCATTGGAATGTCGGATCAAAATGAACTAATGTAAATGTCAGAGCATAAACGAAAGACAATGGAAATTTATGAGCTAGAGATTATATTAATTAAAGGACAATACTTATTGCAACAGTAATGGATACTATATTATCAATACCATTCTTCTTTACATTGTTAATGACGTAATTTACAGCAGGGTTCTATTGCAACGATCACTTAATAAATTCGAAATCTGAGCCGTTGACCAAATAAATGATTGATATGCATTTCTATAAATCCGAATCTAACCATAGTGAGAAACATAAGTTATAACTATGTATAGGGATCACGATATAAAGTACCATCTCGTATAGAATCCGGTATTTGTTTTTTTTTAGGAGCTAAAGAATAATTAATATTAAATGATTAATTCTTAAGAAAACCAAATGTGGCAATCGTGTAACTGGAGTGTGTGAAAAAAGGTATGCGCATGCACTTATATTATGTGTTCTTGCCTTTGTGGAGTTTGAAGATTTATCATTATGCGTACTTTATTTTAATAATTTTTCTGATTATTAAGCAGCCATTTCCATGCAAAATTGGGATGTAAGAAATCACCATTATTTCGATGGAGTTATTTAAGAAGGAAATATCATTCGTGCTCAGCCGATATACAATAAATCATCTAAAGACTACTTTCAGAGAAATTATGCCGTTTCACAAGTACGGATTCTATATGACGACAGATTCACCATTATTGTAATAATTCCAAATTTTTATTTTCTCTTAAATATTTACTGCATTTGATGGTTCAGATTATCAAAAAGAAAACGTGAGCCTGAAATTAACCAAGGAAATTTCAGTCAGTACAATACAGTATGTGAGTATGTGGAGCAATACGTGTCACATGGTATAAAAATCAGGCGACTTTTGGCACATACGCATTAAGATTTATTGACGTAAATCAAGAACATTTCTGTTGATTATTAAAAGACACGTGATTAAGCGCATACCGCATTGATCAAATTAGTCACCTCACATGGACAGACTTCGTCTATATTTATGGCATTCACTGTCACCACCGTTTCACTAGAAAAATATCGGCTAAATTCAAAGTATTTTTTTCCCATCCACATTGTTTCACTAGGAAATCATCGGTTAAATTTCAAGGTTTCTTCCGTATTCTACGTACAAATAAATTCCAATTAATTGAATCTGCATGTGATATATTTGTGAAAAAATTTTTGCCGACCCTCGAAATATAGATAAAAGATGACATAACCCTTTTCACTATACAGTAAGGTTGACTCTTGACCTTATAAGATTTAAGATTCGACGTTTCTTTGATATTGTCAATTAAATTTTAAATTTTGTCGACAAATTCATTCAAAGAGTTTTATGCTTCTTTAACATTCTCAAATGTCGCAAAATTCAAACTCAGAACATGCGACCAATGAGGTTGCTACAATCACTTCTTCCGAAACGGGTACCAAATTAAACGAATCCTCGGGAATCACGAGTGGTATGCAAGAAGTTCGTGATGTGAACGGTGTTGATCTTGAAAAGGCAAAAGACGAAGATGACAAAGCCGAAATGACCAAAACCCAAGTTATATTGGTTTTTGTTGGGTAAATATAATTAAAAACATTATCTTGTTACTTAAAGTTTTCCACACGAATTCCAACTTTAATTCACAAATGTTTATTAGTCTTTGCTTTGGCATGTTTCTGGCTGCATTGGATCAGACAATAGTAGCGACCGTGGTGGTTTGTAGACATTCTTTCTCTGATTTTCCAACAGGTGTGACAGAGCTTCAAGAAATCATTTTTAACAAACTTTCATTTTAGCCCAAGATTGCATTCGACTTTAAAGATCTTGACAGAATCGCGTGGATTGGAACGTCTTATCTGCTCACAGTGGTACGTGTATAAGCGTAGCTTTTCTTTTCTTCTGTTTTTGTTTTGAACGCCTTCCTATCTATCTTGTCGCTTAATCTTTATTAAAAATTTAGTCAGCTTTCCAACCAACGTATGGGAAGCTCTCGGACATATTCGGAAGGAAAATAACGTTTTTAATAGCAATTCTAATTTTTGAAATTGGATCTTTGTTATGCGGTCTTTCTAACAGCATGGTAATTTCATCACAACTTAATTCGCCTATCTTTATTATTTCAACTATTTCATACTTCCCGTTTAACATACATACTACTTAAAAGACAATGATCATTATCTCACGCGCCGTTGCCGGTGTGGGCGGAGGTGGCATCATGGGGTGCGTGGGCTTTTCTTACTAATTCCAACAATTTTCTACGCATGTTTACTAAAATTCATATCATTATAATTTTATGTAGATTGGTTTTTATTATTATATCCGATATTGTTAGCCATGAGGACCGCGGGAAATATCAAGGCATGAATTATATTATATTATAATTTCAAGCTTAACTTTAAATTCTAAGCACCATTGACAACTGTTTATTCTAAATATACTCTAGGGATGATTGGTGGATGGTAATACTTTTTTTAAAAAAATATTTTTAATGTACAATTAATTTTCGAGTTTTTAACTCCAAATTTTTTTTGAAATATTCAAGTTTTGGTGTTGCTTCAGGTAAATTATTCTCTCAATTTTTTTTTTTTTTGTTATTGTTAAAATTTTTAATTAAAAAATTACACCTTCCTTCCTTTTTCTTATAAATCAAGTGGTCGGACCTGTCCTAGGTGGAGCTTTCGCAGATAATGAGAAGATAACATGGAGGTTTCAGCTCGATCTTCATATATTTTTCTTTAAATTTGGTTTTACTTTGCAAAAAAATAACTTAATTTTATGTGGATTCGTAGATGGGCGTTTTACATTAACCTTCCCTTAGGTGCTATAACAATTATTGTGTCACTACTATTTCTTCATATTCACCAATCTACTGGATCTTTTCGTGAAAAACTTGTACGTATTGATTGGTTGGGAACTCTCGTGATCGCTGCCTCTACAGTCTTGATCCTGCTCGCGCTAAACTGGGGTGGAAACGAGTATGCATGGAATTCTGCTTTAATTATTGTTTTACTTATCATCGGTGTGATTGGATTTATCCTTTTCGGATTTGTGGAATCTCATTTTGCTTTAGAACCTTTGGCTCCCAGTAAGTATCATGTGCATGTTCATGCTTCTTGATATAG